CAAACGAAGGAAGGCATAGATCAAGCTGAACTGATCCCATGGAGTCACCCAAGGTGAAGACCCGGGGATACCTGGTCTTGGTGACAAACCTGTCAAGCTAGTTAAGCCTTGATACCAGGAGGTCCATGTCTGCTATTTACCATTAGTGACAAAGGGTCCTGAAACCCTTCTGGGTGAAGGAACCATTATCAGGAATCTAGAAGCTGATGACTATAGTAGTCCACCAACTAATTTACACACCTGGGATGTGCGCAATGGACAGGGGCGGGACATGAAGTTCTGCCCAAGCCAGGATAAGGTCTGCTTAACATTGAGCTGCGTGACCTCCCTGATGGTTGATGTAAGCCCCAGCTGTGGTGTTGTCCAAATGAACCCTTGTCGGGTGGCCCCGTGACTGGGGGTTCAGTGTTGATGGAATAGCCTTGAGCTCCATTATGTTCATTTGGGAGAGAAGCTTTCCCCTGGTACCTTGAAATGAATGGTTGCCCAGGACTACTACTCGGCCTGAAAAAATGGCATCCATAGTGAGCACCTTCCAGACCTATGGAAGAGAGGATTTCCCAGATTACAACACAGGGTTGGAGATCCATTGTGTCAGAAAATGCTTAGCTGCCGCAAAAGGAAGCCATCAAATCCAGCATCTTCATGCAAAAGCGAACAGTTAGGTAACTTCTGGTCTGCAAGAGTGGAGAGACAGAATCTTTTCCAGGTAAAGGAAGACCCTGGAAAAGGTAGTGTCCAAGATCAGGCCCAAGTACTCCAAGAGATGGGACCTTTCCGGCAATGACTTCCGCAGGTTCAGGAGTTATTCAAAGCTCTGCAGGTTTTGTATCGCCCAACGAATGTTGAACGTCAAGGCTTTCGCAAACTGTTTTCTTGGTCTCTGATCCTCCAGGTACCCCACCATGGGAATGCTCCGAAACCGAAGTAGGGGCCAGCAGCTTGGTGAAGACCTGAGGTGCAGAGTACAGGTCAGACTGATAGCGTCCACAGCAAGAGGCAGAAAGCATTATTGGGTAATAAAAGATGGGGCTGTATAAATATGCTTTCTTGATATCTACTGAAGCCAAAAAGTCTGGCAGGTGAAGGGAGACTATGACCGAGTGGGTCATTTCCATCTGGAATTTTGGGGACAGTGAACGGGCTGGAGTTTAAACCATTGAATTTCTCAGCTACAGGGACTATGACCCCCCTGGAAAATAAGCCGACCTAGAAGCCAGGAGACCAAGAAGGCTGACAGACTTCCCCCATTTGACAAAACTGGGGTGCCCCTTTATAAAGAAGAGAGCTTGGTCACAGATTTTTTTGGGGCTTGGAGGGGGGGGCTTTACAGACTAGCATTTCAGCCACAGTATATAGACAGTCTCCATATATGGTGACACAGGAAACCCATTCCGGAGATGTGCAATAGCGCATAGCCACAAGGAAGAGCTGGAAATGTTAAAGAGATCATGGGGTCCATAAAGATGCATCCACAGCCATAACCTTTGATCATACAGATGAGGTCGGACACACTGCAAGGTGTATAGCAGAGCCTGCAAGAGCACACAAGGCCTTAAAGAGACCATCTAACTTCTTGTCCACGCGGTCCTTAAAACCAGAACATCCTGTAGGGATAGTTAACGTTTTATCTAAACAAGAGATGGCTGAATCTTCATCAGGGATATACAATTTCTTAGGGAAGCCCTATTCAATAGGGTACAACAGAGCAAGCTCACTAGGAAGAGTAAACAGTTGGGTGGGGTGATTCCAGTCACCATACAACACAGACTGTAAAAGCACATGTACAAGAAAGGTTTTGGGATACTTGGAAATTCAGAGGAAGATAAGAAGAGGGCCCTCCTTATGCCCCCACACGCGGTATGAAGAGTGCAGATATTTTCACAAAAAATTCCACCTTTACAGCGGTAGATTCCTTTCTGGACGTGGTAAATAAGGGTGTCCTGGAGGGAACAAAGGAGGACCCTGAAGTGTAGAGTTAAGAGGAGAAGGAGCACCATTCCCAGGCCATCCATGAACCCCAACGAAAGATGCCAAATTAAAAAATAGAAGGGGACCGTGAGCCAATCCTGCCACTGGAATCCCAATTTAGACACTCGGGGAGGGGGTAAACCTGGCTACCTGAATAGGAACAAGCCCTGATTTACCACCCTAAAAACGATAGCTAACCCAGCAGTTCACTCACTTAGAGGATATGCCCCATCCAGTCCTTGCCCTCCCAGTGGGCTTACCCATTGAAGAAGGCCTTCAGGGATAGGGCTCCACCACAATGGACCGCGGCCCTGCACCTGTAAATGTACCACACACACACACACACACACACACACACACACACAGCACTAAAATGCCAAAAAGAGTTCTCTACGCAGGATACAATGCTCTAAGCACATTACAGACCAGCCCCCCCCCCC